ATCATTTCATATGGACAGAATCAATGCATTTCAGACAATGAGATACAAATTCAGACAACTAGGATTTTAGAAACATTAGGGAATTATGAAATTATGAAATGTAACAATTTTATAAAACACATGCGACTGGTCATTAGAGATGGTTATGTCAAAGTTAATATCAGTATATAAATAAATATTAGGCTATTGTATTGAGCAATTTCCCCAGCACACACAAACAAATATTTATAGTCAAGTCAAGTCACCTTTATTTATATAGCACTTTTTACAATACAGATTGTATCAAAGCAGCTTCACAGTGATAACATGAAAATAATACAACAAAGTTTGTTTCTAGAAGAAAATTGCGCCAACGTCCAGATCAATAATATTGTTGAATATTAAATGTCCCCAACTAAGCAAGCCAAAAGCCCAATATATTCCTCTTAATGGTGGTTCTCCATTGAAATGTCAAGGACTAGGCTTGATTCGTGCCCATGCCCGAGAAACCTGCCAATAAAGTAATTATGGAAAAATCAACTTAAAATATGTTTGGAAAAAACAATAAATAGTTTTCTTATAATTTAGGTGCATTAGAAATTAAACTCTCATTATTTCATTGTCTATGACAATGGAGACAACAAGTAATAAGTCTGAAAACCATGCAAAAAAGACATGAACATTAACATCCTCTGGGTGTCACCATAATTTTCTTAGCTCTAATTATTCTAAAAGGAAAGGAGGCTGTTAGTGTTGGAAGGCAACTGAGTGCTATCTGCGAACTGATAGACATTGAACTATGCTGTTCTTCTCTGTCTCTGGAGGATACCAGTCACAATCTGAGAGCAAGGCATCTGCCAGAAGACATCTATACTTTCAACGACATGCTGCGAATGATACAAACATGTACGTGAGATAGGGTGGGTGTCTGGTTCCCTTAAAAACAAGAGAATTCTAGGTTTACAAAATGTCCACATTCTAATAAACTTTCAGATTGCCATGACACACTTTCTGGCATGGAACCTCAAAAATACATGTTTTCAGTTAACACCCTGTTGAGATAAGGTGATACACAGGGAGCCAGAGAGAAAAAAACAGCAAAGCAGAAGGGAGAAGTATTGATTAAAAACCATCTGCTCTAAATACTAACAATAACATGAATGAAACAATGCAGAAGAGTGTTACAACACTTCAGACCGAGCCTTTGTTTTGAGAAAGTTTTGCACTTGCAAAGGAAGGAAGGGGGAGAAAGCACTATAGACAAAACAATTGTTAACAAAGGAAAAAGGCCATTTTATGTCATACAAATCAATAGATTAAATTCACCCTTGTTGTTCTTGAACATTCTAAGAGCGGCTGAATTTAGTAAGAAGGAATGTCTGAAGTTGCTGATAGCAGAAACCATGGCAGTATCCCTTGAAAACATCTTTTCAGATTGCTCAGAATTAGACTCACAAGATCATAGTGTGTTCTCTCTTAGCTGTAATTTTCCTTTTCAAGATTGTAGGCTGAAGGCAAATTCCACTTCGTTGCATATAATGGGCCCTATTTTAACGATCTGAAACGCAAGTGTCAAAGCGCAAAGCGCAAGTAACTTTGTGGGCGGATCCCGGCGCTGTTGCTATTTTCCCGGTGGGATAAATGCCTCTTGCGCCAGGCGCAAATCTAAAAGGGGTTGGTCTGAAGTAGCTTCATTATTCATAGGTGTGGTTTGGGCGTAACGTGAAATAAACCAATCAGAGCATCATCTCACATTCCCTTTAAGAGCAGGCGCGCTTGTTCTAAAGCGGATTCCTATTATAACGGCGGATTTGCCAGGCGCGCGACAGGAGCGGTTCATAGCCGAGGAGAGCAACGTTCTCGTCAGGGCCGTAAAACACAGAGAAGTGACATTGGGGATGGAGAAACCCACCCAAATTAACTTCTGTTAAACAGGCGTATGATAATTTGGGTAAATGTGTAAGCTACATTTATGCTTTTATAATAAATTGTCTATCTATCTATCTATCTATCTATCTATCTATCTATCTATCTATCGTAATAATGTATGATTTGCAAAAATGAAAACTGCTGCTTAGATGAGAGAATCGTATGCGCGTTGTGCACACGCTACATTGATTATGGCCAAGCATGCGCCCTTAAAATAGCATAATGAACAACGCGCCACTGACTTTAGACTAGGTTTTTTCTGGTCAGTGGCGCAATTGTTTTATACAACAGTTCTGAACAGCAAAATAGCATGAGGGAAAGTTTGCGCCGGAACACGCCTCCTCTTTGCCCTGAACCGCCCCGGGGAGCGCAAGTGTATTTCTTAGTTAACCGACGTGCGTCTGTGGAGGGAAAAGTCCGCTTTGCGCGGGTGCAAAATAGGAATAATACATGCGTCAGTGTACAAAGTCATTTGCGTCGGGTGCAAGATAGGGCCCAATGTATGTAACTAGGAAAAATTGCATGTAAAACCTAGCCTGACGTCGTCATACTCGGATTCTAGTCAGAATGTGAGTCTGATACTGCTCTATTGGGCTGTAATTATGGGGCGTGTTTCAACCGAACCAGGAAAAAAAATGCCTCTGCTCTCATTTGGATAGACCGCATCTCGTAGGAAGGACGGCAAAAATATCTTTCCTATCGACAAATGCCTTGATTGTGGTTCTCTGTTCCTCTTTTAAAATGAATGTGCTGTCTAGATCTTCTATAACAGACGTGATGGCTGAATCTACACATCTAAATTCTCCAGCGGCAGCCATTCTTTGTTGTAAACGAATTCAACCCAAGCGCTCTTTGGTGACGTGGATGATTACGTTACTGTTGATCATCTGTCCATCATCGCATAAAGCCCGCCCAGACAATTTGATTGGTCCGAACAGCTCTGGTTCGGGCATACTTGCTTCACAACGGATCAAGTCCAGACCGAACTTCCCATCCTCAAATGTTGTGGGCGGGGCTAAGTTCGGCTGGCATCCAGGCTATGTAAAACCTTCAGTCACCATGAAATCAAAATGAACAAATCTTTGTTTAGTATGTTATAAGTTGTCGAATAGCCAGATGAGTTTCAATCCTTCCCCTCCAACCTTTCACTCACACAAAATGATTGCAAGTAGAAAACGACAACGATCCAATCAATTCCCACCCTACATTTTGTTCTCGTCCGAGAAGCAATTCCACACGGATATACCTCACGGAAGAAAAGTTTAAAAGATTAGGAGGAGCATTTGCTATTATATTGTTAATTTGGCATGACAAGCATTAGAGACAAACAATTGATTTTTCCAAGAAATTGTTGAGGGGGATGGAAAGTGTGCTAAATTATATTGGGGAACACTGTGAAACCAAGATTAAAATAACAACCGATGGAGGATGAGGGTTTTATTAAAAGATGAATACTTAGATGGATAGTTGTAGCAAGGGTTGCCACTGTAAAATTTCAGTAGTTGGTACTAATACCAGTAAAATTTCACAGAGAAATTTTTATTTAAAATTCTGGTTTAAATGTGATTGCCTCATGTTAAATTGACAGTTCTTCTTTGACTTAACTTCATACTTTCATTTTGAAATAACATGCTTCAATCAAGAACCCAATCAAAGAGAAACAGGACTTTCACTTCTCATCATTCTTTGTACAGGTTGAATTGGGAGAGTAAATGTTGAAATAAAGTGTTATTTTATGCATTTTTCAGCAAGTTGAGTAAATGGCAAGACTTGTTAACCAGCATCACTTCTAGACTGCCAACACTGAACATCACATGTAAAGAAAAGTTATATTTAGTTTGTTGTTCTGTAGATCACAGGACTAATCAAGATTTATTGAGTTTTAATTGTTTCAGTCAGGTGGAACCACTGTCCTAGCCTGACTACATCAGACTTCGTACTTCCGCTCAATTTCATTTCGCTTCTGTACTTAGTCTGAGACATCAACATGTCTCTCAGTTTTCCTCCGGCCTTAAAACAGCCGGCCAATCAACGAACAGAGGGCGGGCTGAGAGCCGCGACGTAGACGCTAAGCGCCGAGTTTCAGATTTAAACGACCGCGGATATGGAGACACGGGATGCAATTCGCTCTGTTGTGGAGAATATTCCTGGCATTTCCAAACTGAAGCCTGAACAAGAAGAGTGTTTGTTAAACATTTTGAATGGGGGTGATGTCGTGGCCCTACTCCCGACAGGTTTTGGTAAAGGTTTAATTTATCAAATATTACCGATCATCAGCGAGAAACTGGGCAGTCCAAAGGCCGGCAAGGCGATAGTTGTGATTGTGTCCCACTTGGTTGCACTCATGGAGGATCAGGTTAAGGAGGGAGCAAAACTCGGTCAGCCATGTTCACTCCGGTATTTCGCTCGATGGTTTCGTTTTCGCATCATACATGTGTTTACAGTGGAAGTTCGATGCGGCTGAGCTGGCGAATAACACACGTCATAACCAAACGTTATGTGATTGGCTTACGGGTAACCAATGATTTTATACTTCAGACAAGCGCCCCCCCCCGCGAGAAAGAAAACACTTTTCAATGATGACATGCCAGACTCTGTCTATGAAGCAAAGCGAAGTAGCAGAGTTTGGTATTACCAGGCTACCACTGTCCATGATTGGATCATGTTTAGCCAAAGAGCTATTTTTTTTAGTGATTCTCAACGCTGGAAAAACACGTTGTAAATAGAGACCTTTGACCTTCTTCATAAAGTGCTCACACAAATACAGGCGGGGACATTTTAAAGCAGCTTCCTATCAGCGGGTACCAGATTAACCCAGTACATGATTCTTCCAGTAAAGCAGAAAGGCGTGTATCGTTACGTTTTTAAAATGTCAGAATCGACTTGGTACCATACCGGTACTTTTGACAACCCTAGTTGTAGCATTAGTGGTTGGGAATGGGATACACACACTCCTGAAGCATTCACAGGTTTAAATGTGAGGTTAAAATTAAGAACCAAGTGAATGTTCATTTTCATGCTGACCTTAGTGACAAGAGCCAGATTTTGATGGCATGATTAAAAATGATCAAAAATCACCATACCATATGTACCTGTATATGTCTCTCCTTCCAGCTGATGGCAAGCGTGCTGCTTTTCAGAAATCTGCTTCACACTTCTTCTCTGAGACTGTGAATAAATGTGCATAAAATGAAGATATAGTCATTATTTCATATGGCACGAAATACATGTCAAGCAAACACTGTTACTGAGACCTCATACTCTCAACTCTCTTCAAATCTCGCAACCATCTTGCTATTAGTATTCATGCATCCTTTTAGTGCTTCAAGTGTGATCAGCTAGATGTCTGCTTGGATCACTTCTGCAACAACAAGGGCATCCAACTAAGACAGAGGCCTGCTTATAATCTGACCAGTGACCTTGAGACCATTGGTGGCCAATATGAACAATGCCTGCACTCACATAAAGAATCATTTCTCCAGAGGCCATCACAATCAGTTTATTCAGTTTAACCTTCAAGCTTAAGGATGCTTCACATGACCAATTCTTCTAAGGAACAAAATATCATTACCACATTGATTATCAGCCAGGAGGCCACACAACCGAAACAATATAAGGGACTTATGTCTCGGGTAGTTAATGCACTGTAGAGAACTCTTTGTCAACCTGTACCCTCTGAGCACAGAGCATCAAGAGCAGATTAGCCATGGTGGGGAGTTCGGCACTAAGGGACTGAAATGTTCATCTGTTTCCATGGATACAAACAGAGAGGAAAATGGAGTACCAATAAAATGTTGCAGAAAACTGTCTGAGGTGCACAGAGTCAACAAGATCACATCAAATTGGGTAACAATGAAATGTTTAGAAGAACCAGAATAGGGAGGCAAAAGACCAAGCTTAAGATATATATCCTGTAAAAAATCGAATAAAAGATACTTAAAAAAGGAACATGTGCTTTTTCCTGAACATTAATTCTGCTCCACAGCCATATCGATATTTGCCTGTTGTAACTTTCCAGCTGTTGCACAGTGGAGTTACATCCTCCAGGAGCGGTTCAATTCTGCAGGCTCCACAGCCTGCCATGCTTCACAAACTGTGAGAAACGATGATTGAGAAAGAGCGGCACATTGACTTTACCATGGCTGGAAACAGTGTGATGACTAACTCATCACAATTGTGATAAACCAGCACTCATTACTAAGACTTGTGTCCAGCTGCCATAAGAGTTACATTGGCAATTTTAAAAAGTAGCATAATATATTAAAAGTGAGTCAGACTGTTTTGATTCAGCTCAACTGGGCAGAAAACATGTCAGTAGCTCAACTGAGGAGTGTGTGTTAATTTACACAGGTATTTAACTACCTTATAATGTGCATTTGGGATATGACTTTTTATTTTACAGCCATTCTGCAACAGCATTACCCCACTACAGATGGTTGGGAACTTTAACAATATTACTGTAATGCAGTTATTTGGGTCATTGTACGTTTTATTTTTATTTGATTAATAAAACCGTTACCATATCTAAAAAATAAACATTTTATAGAGATCAGTGATGTCACTAATTGTGAAATGAATGTATTATAGTTTGGTTTGTGAAAATTAACTTGTACAAGAGATGAACATTGTGCTGATGTAAAATAGCATACACTCCAAAGCAACTATTCCTTTAAAAAAAAAAAGGCACTTGTTAGATTGCTTATGCAACATATGACCTGTCACACCATGTGACAGATTCAGGCTATGGCCTAGAACAATGTGACAAAATAGAGCAAACTGTTAATGGCCAGTATGGAACTTTTAGACAGTAAAGATAAATAGGATAGAAGGAAGGTGAATCATCCTTGTGCAACAGAAAGCAACTCATATCCTCAAGACCAATGTTATTTTAGTATTATTTATGTACTATAGTATTTATTAATATTTTAATTAGCTTTTATTTTTATATATTTTCTTTTTTTAATTATAGATTACGTTTTGTTATGTGGTTTTGTCAATAACTTTTATTTTTTTTATATTTCTATATAGCTTTATTTTTATATTTCAGTTTCAATTTTAGTATTTCAAATAAAATATATTTCAGCAATTTGCCAATGCAATATTTATTCAAGTTTTTTTAAGTTTAAGTATTTTCTTCAAATATTTATATTCTATTTCATTTCAGTTTTTTTTTATTTCATAAAAATATTTCAGTAGTTTTAGTTCACTATAACAACAATGTTTAGGATCAACCAACACCTCCAGCTTTCCATCTTCATCTCTAGACTCTTCCTGTGCCACTCTGACCAGCTTAACTGCAAAAAGTAAATGTTACCTCCCCTGATTAAGAGAAATATATGAGATTACTAGCAGCCTACCCATCAAGAGTTTGATATTATGTGCACTGGGAATCACATCATGTGCTTTGCTTTATGTCAGCACCATTCAGTGTCATTTGATGGACAGATCTGATGGACATTCAATATGTCTGAACACTATTCTGCAACTAGAAACTGTTTGGACTTTAACGTAAGCTTAAATATCTAGCATTTAAGTAAGGCCTCCCAAATGTTTTTCTGGGAACGAGTTGTCCTTGGTCAGGTCGACCTCAGTGAAGGAAAAAATAGTAGAGAAAAGTTTTTTTTTTTTTTTAAACTGATACCACAATATTTCTTGTAAGGATTCCCTTCCCATACAAGTCCCTCTGAGCAATACATGGTAAAATGCAGATCAGGTCTTGAGAAGCTCAGTTTCTGCTGTTTCAGATGACAGCTATCAGAGAATACCTTAGGCATGAAAGGGGAGCACTGAAGGCCAAGCTCTATACCCCAAGGACTCAATTATGTGCAGTACCTTCAAAGAACATGGAAAAACACTGAGAAGCCTGGCTTCTCTATCGGTCTCTGGAGTCCGTTCCAGTATGGCAGGGGCAAAGGGAATCAATCATGACCCATATCCTTCCACTTACTGAGCACAAAGCTATTCGGCTACTATACAGTACCTGGGGTTGCATACACAACCGAGGCTTACTGTTTGAGAAAAACTCCTGACGAGACACAGAATCAGGACATTGAACATTTGTCCAGCTTTGCTGTGGAAAAGACTAATCTATCTTTTTATGTTAGCATTTTTTTGTATTAGGAATGGGATACCTTTTGATCTTCAAACCAAACCTATGAAGGAATGCATGGCTGATAATAGTTTTTATACCTTTATACCTACAATCTTGTGTATATTTTATCTAGGTAATATTTTATGACTTAGCACACCTGTAAGGTCTTAATACACACAACTCTTCTCTTCATCCCCTCCCTCAGACATAACACCCCTACATTCACTAAATCCACTCAACAGCATGTTTGATCAAATAAAACACAAGTAGCTATAATGACGATTAAGTTCATCAGTCTCTTGGATGTTTCAATAACAGTGACCGGCTCAACAATTCCTTCGGCATGAAGTCACTGGATACTGCAGTGGTTCAGTGTGGGTGGTGTGCTATTATAAAAGACACTTAAAAACATTCAAGGATGGACAAGTCAAAGCACCAGGACCTTGCTTTCCCTATGGGGCAATCAACTTGTGGGCCAGCTGTTGAAATCGGTTTATGAAAATATACAAAGATTTAAAGGGAGAAAAATGTCCAACAAATGTCCAATGTCCAACAGGCCTGGTGCAGTTACATTCCTCCATCCAAATATTCCAACTACTGTACAATTAAACCAATGAATCTAATAATTTTAATCTAAATATTCACTAAGGGTGTATTCACACCTGCCTTGTTTGGTTCGATTGAATCGAACTCTAGTTCGTTTCCCCCCTTGGTGTGGACCTTTTGGGCAGGTGTGAATACAGCAATCGAACTCGGGTGCGGACCAAACAACCGAACCAAGACCCAGCTGAAGAGGTGGTCTCGGGAAGGTTCCAAACAAACTCTGGTACGGTTCGTTTACGGTGTGAACATGAACCGACCCAATTGCAAGAAAGCACTGCGCCTTTGAGTTAACAGGCTTCCGTAGTCGGAGTTGCGTTATGGGAAAGTTATCTGTTGTAGCCTAGCCTACTACATTACATCGGTTGCGCGTCTTTCTGCGCGTCGTGTGTGCATCATTGGAATGGAATGAATGAATGAGTGTGTGCATCAGGACATTCACATACAGAGCGTTCTCTTTAGTCTAATCTAATTTTTTACGTTAAGCCTTTTTTGCACTTCCTGATTTCCCTACTTGAGAATCCTTGTCCAATGAATGGACGACCTTAGCACACGTGTGGTTTTGTTTACAAATTTTGGTTCACTTGCAAAAAGAGCAGTGTGAAAGCGTACCGTACCAAAAAAAAAAAAAAAAAAAGTATTTGGCCCGGACCAAAGCAAGTGACCAATCGGACTTTCCTGGTGTGAATACACCCTAAATCAAAGTCACAATATGGCCTTTGTAAGCAAAAGGCTGTGATTTAATTAGCAGCGGTTTCAATTTTATTTTTTCAATTATTTCTACAAATTACTTAAAAGAACAACTTGGCAAATGTTCTGCTGCAAACAATATGCAAACTGAAGGCTATACAAACCAATGTACAAATGGGGGCTGTTATATATGTCATGCTGGGGTTGAATGAAGATGTAAACAAAAGTGCTAGATCTATTGCAATGGCTAATGAATCAGGTTCTAAGGAAACAAAAACACGATAAGCAGAACAACCACAGTAATAATGACAAGATCTGAAAAAAAACTGAAACAAACACAGGGCTATAAATATACAGAAAAACACTAGGGACTAAACAAGATAATTAACTAGACCCAGGTGTAACATATAAGAGCAAATAAAAACCATAGCAACAGATAAACAAAGGAAACAGAACTGTGAACAGTGCAAAACTAACTCAAACCCAGAACAGGCATAACAAACTATTGTGCGCAAGTAAATAAATACAATTTTAAAATGTATATCACTCCTCTGAACCTAGTAATGAGACTTCTTACATTCATATCCCATTACTATTTAGCACCACTTACAATTCCCATTACAGTTACTGTCGATAATGTCCAGGTATTTGTCACAGATGGGAGAACAGACAACGGAATGAGTGAGTCTGTTGAAGCAAACTTCACCAACAGACAACAACATAAGGCACTGTATGGAATTCAGGCAGGTAACATGATTTAATAGTCTCTTTTTTCTTTCAGCAGGTG